TGGAGTATTATGCGTAATAGATGCCAGAAAAAAATATAAAAGAACCATATAGCTGGCGTTTAAATGATAGTTTGCTTTGTTCTGACGTGAATAAAAACATATTGAAACAAATATAAGTAATTATTTCAAAGAAAATAGTACAGAAGATATTGATCCATCCACTTTGTGGTGTGCCTTTAGGGCAGTAATAAGAGGCCATTTTATTAAACTTCAAAGTCAAATTGATAAAAATACTAGCTTATCTTACCTCCTTACTCAGCTAAGAAAGTTGATCCAAATTAACAAACAGAACCCAACAGTTGAGAATTCTGAGAAAATATCAGTAATAAAGGATAATATAAATCAGAAATTAATGGAAAGAACAGTTAAAAGCTTAGACAGATTAAAATTAAAATACTACTCTAAAGGCAATAGAGCTGATATATTGTTATCTCAAAAACTAGGTGGATAGAATGATAAATAATGGAATAACAGCAGTAATTCCTAAAGATATAGGACAACAATTTAACGACTTCTATAGCAAGCTATATAACATACCTCAAACTACGACAGTTGAAAATATAAAAAAAAATATTTTGAAAAAATTTATAAGTTTCAGTTAACAGAATCACAAAGAGAAGCAATAAATAAAGATATAACTATGGATGAAATAATGAAGGTTATAAATAACTTGGAAGGGTTTAAAACCCCAGGTCCAGACGGATTTAGTAACTTATTCTATAAAACATTCAAAGACCTAATTTTCCCTCATATGACCAATACTTTCAACAGTGCAGCTAAGAGAGGACTCCTCCCAGCAGAGATGTTAAAAGCTAACATCTTACCAATTCTAAAACAAAATAAAAATCCTGCTGACGTTAAGAATTATCGTCCAATATCCTTGATAGATGTTGACACTAAATTGTATGCCTCAGCTTTGGCTGCTAGAGTTAAGAAACTCTTACCATTGATCATACATCAAGATCAAATAGGATACGTTCCAGGCAGAAATTCCTACACTAGTATCAGGAAAATTATTAACATTTTAGATGATGCTAAAAGAAATAAGGTCCCAGTTTTGGCTCTGTCGATTGATGCTGAAAAAGCATTCGACAGAGTCAACTGGAGTTATCTAGATGTTGCACTGTCGCATTACGGCCTTGACGGCTGGATTAAGAAAGCCATTATGGCCCTTTATGTAAATCCATTGGCATGCACTAAAGGACCAAACATCACTGCCCCATGGTTCCAACTGAAAAACGGGACACGACAGGGGTGTCCGCTTTCACCACTATTGTATTTGCTCTCTATTGAACCACTAGCTGAGAAAATTAGAAATAACAAAAGGATTAATGGCTATAAAATATTGGATGTAGAACAGAAATTAAGCTTATATGCCGATGACATTCTAATCACTATAACCAATCCTGATACTTCATTGGACTTTTTAATGTCAGAAATCGACAGCTATAGTCAAATATCTAATTATAAATTAAATATAAATAAATCTATGACTTTGGATATCAATTTAGATAAGCAAACTCAAAATAAGATTAAAGATAGATATAATTTTTCATGGGTGGAAAATAGTATGGACTACTTGGGGGTTAAATTGACTATGGAGATACATTTTTTAGATTTATTACAAAATCTCAATAAATGGTTAAAAAATCAAATGAATTTAGAAATATCTTTCTGGGGAAGAATAAACGTGGTTAATTCATATGTTATCCCAAAATGGAACTATATGTTCCAAATGCTGCCATTATATATTTCTAATTATTGGTTGGAGCTGATACAGAAAGGTTTCACCCAATATATTTGGAAAGGTAAGAAACCAAGACTGAGTCAGTCAATACTAATACAAAAATTAAGCAAAGGAGGATTAGCCTATCCTTTAATATCAAATAATTATAGAGCAGCTACAATTTTACACATTTACAGGATGCAAATAGAAGATAACAAAAACGAAGGATGGTATAAAATGGAACTTACTGCAGGAGAAGTCCCTAGTTTGGACTGTTTAGAACACTACTAAATCCCCTCCAAAAAAAGAGTACTCCAACACAATTTTAACACATTTAATGCTGGTTTAAAATAAAAAAAAATATTAAAAATTGAAAAGAAAGTTCCAAGCTACTTAGAGCTGAATTTTGTTGAACAACAAGTTGCAGACATAAACCTTAACAATTGGAAACAGGCAGAAATTGCACGGTTGTCTCAGCTATTTGTAGAAGGTACAATTAAAACCTTCGTTCAATTAATATAGCTTACCATCAAAAGAGCTGTTTAATTTTTTGAGACTTAAAAGCTTTTTGACGACCCATTTAACCCCTTAAGGACACAGCTTCTGGAATAAAAGGGAATCATGACGGAATATTTCCGTCATTTGTCCTTAAGGGGTTAATTGTACCAAAATCTAGTTCAAACAACATGATAAATATATTATTTAATTCAGATAAAATAAACAAACCGCTCTCCAAAGCTTTGCTAGTAAGTAAAATGTGTAATAAAGAAAAAACACCAACAGCTATAGCTGCTTGGAAAGAAGAATTAAACATAGATATAAATATCAAGTACTGGGGTTCTTCACTGATAGAAGTCTCGAAAAATATACACTTGCTAAATGTATTAGAAACCCATTTTAAGGTTCTAAACAGATGGTACTTAGTACCAGATAAATTGAATAAAATGTACCCCACAATAAACCATCTATGTTGGAGATGTGGCATAGCTACAGGTACTTTTAAGCATATTTGGTGGGAGTGCAACAAACTGAATAATATCGAAAGGTTTGTGTCCGCAGATCTGAACCTTGAGTTGAGGCTTTCTCCATTGGTCGTCCTGCTTCATCTAAATTGGCCGGTAATGGCGTATGAGTCAAAAATTATTCTTATTCATCTTTTTTTAGCTGCCAAAATTGTTATTGCGAGAAGTTGGAAAAATGATAGGGACATCCCTTGGGATCAAGTCAGAGCCCAGCTTAAGTTTCAGATTAAAATGGAACTGATGTTGAACAAACAAAAATCAAGTAAAAAAGCAACTGTTTGGACGAAATGTTGGGAGCGTATTAATAAATAGAGCTTTCAGCAAACAAAATGTCTGTCAAAATTAACTTCCTTACAAATTTAAAGGGAAATAGTGTTAGATTGGCTATACTTTGGGTAATATAAGATATACAGTCTTACTCGATTTGTATTTTCTCCTCTCTCCTTTGCTGCACTGTCTTGTATATGTAGATATGTAAGTTAAATGTATTGTCTTGTTTTTGGTTAAGTGAAATGTGTAAAGAAAATTTCCACGGATATATTTTTCAAATGGAAGTAATGTTTCCTACCATTTGTATGTAATTGTTGTATTGTATTGTCTTTCATGAAAAAAAAAAAAACATTTTCAATAAAAACTATTTAAGAAAAAAAAAAAGTAAAAATTATTTAGTATTAGTAAATTTTGCCCCTACTCGCTATACCACAAGTAGGAGCATGTTTATTAAACAGTGAGCTGCCTGTGGCCATGTGACTAGGGGTCACCAAACCCCCCAAAATTATTAAACCCCTATCTACCCCCTCAACCTAAAAATAATGAGGGGGGACCATTAACTAGATACCTGAAAAAAATAAAACTAAAACTTACCATTTGATGTCTTCTTTTTTCTAACATCTTTTTTCAGCCCCCCAAAAACGGCCAAATAAAAATCCATAATAACCGACGCACTTTAAAAAAAAAAAAAAAACATGAGCGTAAAAAATAAATAAAAAAATCCATCTTCACCCATGGAGGTCTCCGCGCAGACTGAGCTCTGCAGGGCGGGGGGAGGCTTATAAATCCTTGCCCCGCCCTGCAGTTAGGCTCAGAGCACTCTGGTTGGTTGGTTAAAGCCATCCAATCAGAGTGCTCTGACTTGTAAATGAAGGGACTGACAGGTAAGTCTCTACATTTACGTGTCACAGCACTCTGATTGGTTAGCTTAAAATCCAGCCAATCGGAGTGCTCAGTGTCATTTTACACAGCGTGGGAAAGTTCTTTGGAATTTTCCCACGCTGTGTAATTTGACTCATAACTCTCTGATTGGTTACTTTCAATCCACCAATTAGAGTATTGGTATGAGTCAAATTACACGGCATGGGAAAATTCCAAAGAACTTTGTGTAAAATGACACAGAGCACTCTGATTGGCTGGATTTCAAGCTAACCAATCAGAGTGCTGTGACACTCTGTTTTCAAAGTGCATCGGTTATTTTGGATTTTTATTTGACCTTTTTTGGGGATGAAAAAAAGAAGATTTTAGAAGAAAGAAAACATCAAATGGTAAGTTTTATGTAATTTTTTTTTACAGGTACGTAGTTAATGGTCCCCCCTCATTATTTTTAGGGTGAGGGAGGTAGGAAGGGGTTAATCTTTTTTGGGAGGGGTGTGACTAGGGGCTTGGGGACCTCTAGTCACCTGGGGGTGTTACATTCAAGGGGGGGGACGTTTTTTTTGTTATTATTTTTACAGTGAGCAGCCACAGGCGGTGTAGCGAGTAGGGGCATAATTTACTAATACTAAGTAATCTTTACTTAGTATTAGTAAATTTGTCTGAAAGACCAATTTAGGTCTTTCAGCCTTTTAGTAGATAGCTCCCTAATACCGTGGGCATTAGGGAGTTATCTACTTATTCATTCCTGTCATTCCATTGACAGGCTACGTAACTTACATTTTATATGAATGTGTGTTACTTGATTGTTGTAAGTGTTGCTAATGCTTACAGATGAATCCTGGCTATGTTTGTATACTTTTTATTTAAAGTTGTATACAGTGTAACATTCTTCATTCTTCCACTGGGTAGGTATGTTGGTACTTCAGCAATACTGAAAGTATAAATATAGGCTCTGATCTAAAGGACCCGATATGATAGGGGACCAATGGAGCAGTGCCAAAAATACTCACTGTTACTCTCCCTAGATGGGGAATAACCCACAGTGTATAACTAAAAAGAGGGATTGGACTGAAGTGTGCTTGTGGAAGAGTTAACAAAAAAAAAAGGGAGAACCCCCCTCCCCTTTTTTTTTTGTCTCCCTTTCTTTTTTGGAGAGTTAACAAAAAAGAAAGGGAGAAAAAAAAAGGGGAGGGGGTTCTCCCTTTTATTTTTGTTAACTCTCCCACAAGGACACTTCAGCAATACTGTGCTTCGAGAACTTCGGCACTTCGGAATTTTGACAATTTCTGAACTTCAGGACTTTGGCAATTCGGCACTTCGGCAATTCAGCTATTCGGAAGTATCCGAATGTCCTAACTGCCCGAAATTCATCCAAATTAACATTCGGAAAGAAACGAATTGCACGTGTCTAAAAATTTGTCCTGATGCCTGGGATTTATAAGCCTGTTCAGCCCCTGAGATTGGAGCCAGGCAGTCGGCTCACACAAGGCTGAGGAAGGTAGGAGGACAGTTGGAATATGAAATAATTCCGGCCCTTCATCATTAAACAGCTTTCTAGGGAGCAGGGCAGGGAGATGACAACAGCTACACTGGTACCCAGGCAAATCTAATCCACTATCTAATCTAGCTCTCCCTAAGGTAGGGAGGCTGGGTGTATTTACAATAAAATAAAAAAATGATTTGGGAGTGAGTGTGAGTGTTGCAGTGTGTGTGTGTGTCTGTCAGTGTGTGTGTGCTTGTCAGTGAGTGTTTGTGTCTGTCTGTCAGTGAGTGCATTTAGGTGACCAAAAGTAGTGCAAGGATGGACAACTGGTGTATTGGCATCAGGGTCATGGGTGCTCAAGGCTCAATGATGTGAGGAGCGAAAGCTATCCCGAACACACAGAACAGCTACTGTAGCTGAAATTTCTGAAAAACATAATGCTGCCAATGACAGAAAGCTGTCAAAACACACAGTGCATTGCAGTTTGCTGTGTATGGGGCTTTGTAGCCGCAGACGGTTCAGAATGCCCATGATGACCACTGCCCACTGACAAAAGTGCCTTCAATGGGGATGTGAGCGTCAGAACTGGACCATGGCGTAATGAAAAAAGGTTGTCTGGTCTGATGAATCGTGTTTTCTTTTAGTGCAGGTGGATGGCTGGGTGAGTGTGTGCCTGGGTATCAGGATGCACTATGCATGATGGCAGGCCGTTGGAGGCAGTGTTATTGCCTGGGCAATGTGGTGGTTTTAATGTTGTGCTGCTCAGTGTAAAATTATATCTTTAGTGCTGAGGTTAATTATCGCTGCTATAATGTATATGTAGCCTAGGATAGTGGTAATCACAATATAGAGTTCTAGCTTTTGTATTTTATATAATATGGCTATAGGCATACGTACAAGATAAAAAATAGGCTTTTGTTTTTTACTGGACTTTTTAAATTCTATTGTGTCATTTTACTATGATGTATATTTTATCTATATTTACTGTACACCAAAATTTAGGTTCTCTACCTTGTTTTTCACACAGCAGTACATGATGGTGGGAGATTTCTTTTGTAATTTGCAGAGTAGTACTGGAACTAGAACAGTTTACATTTTCTCAGTATAACAAATTATTGATAAATGAGATATAATAATGTTATTCCAAGTATCATATATACCCACCGCATTAAAGTTAGGGAAGAGGCTGAGAGGAGACACCCCATTTACTCTGAAAGTCAGAAAGTGCTTGATGTCAAAGTGTGTTTGGATGGGTCTGCTGTGGATGCCTAAGGAAGCCAGCAAAGGTCCACCATGTGATGGGGCACCTAAAAAAATGGAGAAATATGTTATCACACAATCATAACTTTGTTAAAATAAATTATTTTGTAAGAACTGTTTCATTTAAATATTATGATGGCAATCTGTTTGTAGCTAAAATATCAAATTATTGTGACCAACTGAGATTTGGTGACAATTCTTGAGTTACCAGGAACAGTAAGTTTAGGATAAGAAATCTGTCTCTTTCTATAAGTCGTTGGTTGTCTACTTGCTGATATTGCTTAAGAATAAGCAGGCATCATTGCTATACATGCCATTGTGATTCATATAGATCTCAGACTATTCACCTAGAGTAGGCAAAGTAATTGACAATCATCCTATATCTGTCAGCTAGCGCTTACGACTCTAGAGACCGCAATCATTTCAATTAGGTATGATTTAGACCTCCAGAAGGAATCACAAGAACTTAAAATAAATGTGACTTTTTTACAACAACAAACAAAAATAATCTAGAGTCCTGGCTGCAAAACTGTGAAAATATGCTTAGATCAATAGAGGACATAGGCCTGAGCACACCCTAATCAAGCCTCAAAACTGAGGCTCCATCACCTCCGTGTTGCACTGCCATCTTTTACCCACCCATCTGATCCTTCACTATGCGAGCGGTATAGCCGCATAGTGTAGGATGGACTTGCTCTTCCTCCAGACCTCCCCTGTAGCGTTCGCAACGCGTTCCGTGACGTCATGCGGAGGCGGGGTCACAGCAACGCTATGGTGAGGCCCGGCCGGGTCATAGCGCAGCACCATTTTCTCCAAGAACGGCATGTACTGTTCATTTCTCCTCCCTTCCTGAATCCTGCAGCATGGCTTGTTATAGCATTAACAATTTCAAATGTTTATTGTAATAAGAAATGAATGAGAGACTTTCATTTATTTCTCATTACAATAAACATTTGAAACTGTAAATGCCATAAGAAGCCTATCAATCGTCCGGTCATTACATTGATATAATGTTCATTGTATCATTGTCAAAAAGTAAAAAAAAAATGTTGTGTAAATTAATACAAATTCTAATAATGCCTTGGTACAATATATAAGTAGCCTAATATACTTTATGAATGTATTTATTTGGGGTGAAGGGTCTTTATTGTGAACTGGCAGCATCCAACATTAGATGAGGGGATTATTTGGGTGCCTACCCTGACTGAAAGAGACACTAGGCACCATAACCACTGTTATGAGAATTTTCACCATGGTTCTTTGGTCTTAGCTGATCTGATAAAGCAGAATATGATTGATCTTATATGTCAAGAACCTTTCATCAAAATAAACATTATTGCACACAGGACATTTTACATTTCTAACCAGGAATAGAGAGAATCCATTTTTGTGTTTATTTTTAAACTGCTACAAAGATTTTGATTGTTGACTGAGATATTAAGGAAAGAATTCAATTCCACCTAAATATTGCAATGCATACCTTAATAGCATATCTTTAAAGGAACACTATAGTGTCAGGAACACAAACAGGTATTTCTGACACTATAGGGTTAAACTAACTATTTAGGTTACCAGCCCTCTCTGATTGCGTGTGTATGTGTATGTATGTATGTATATATATATTATTATTATTATTATTATTGCCATTTATATAGCGCCAACAGATTCCGTAGCGCTTTACAATATTATGAGAGGGGATTTAACTATAAATAGGACAATTACAAAAAACTTTACTGTGTTAACCTCTACCACTTCATCTGCAAGGCTATTCCATGCATCTACTACCCTCTCAGTAAAGTAATACTTCCTGATATTATTTTTAAACCTTTGCCCCTCTAATTTAAGACTGTGTCCTCTTGTTGTGGTAGTTTTTCTTCTTTTAAATATGGTCTCCTCCTTTACTGTGTTGATTCCCTTTATGTATTTAAATGTTATCATATCCCCTTGTTTTGTCTTTTCTCCAAGCTATACATCCTTTAACCTTTCCTGGTAAATTTTATCCTGCAATCAATGAACCAGTTTAGTAGCCCTTCTCTGAACTCTCTCTAAAGTATCAATATCCTTCTGAAGATACGGTCTCCAGTACTGCGTACAATACTCCAAGTGAGGTCTCACCAGTGTTCTGTACAATGGAATGAGCACTTCCCTCTTTCTACTGCTAATACCTCTCCCTATACAACCAAGCATTCTGCTGCCATTTCCTGCTGCTCTATTACATTGTCTGCCTACCTTTAAGTCATCAGAAATAATCACTCCTAAATCACTTTCCTCGGATGTTGAGGTTAGGACTCTATCAAATATTCTGTACTCTGCCCTTGGGTTTTTACGTCCAAGATGCATGATCTTGAACTTATACACATTAAATGTCAGTTGCCAGAACTCTGATCATTTCTCTAGTTAACCTAAATCATTTGCCATTTGGCTTATCCCTCCTGGAACATCAGCCCTCTTACATTGTTTAGTATCATCAGCAAAAAGGCATACCATATATACTCGAGTATAAGACGAGTTTTTCAGCACATTTTTTTGCGCTGAAAAAACCCCACTCGTCTTATACTCGAGTCAAGGTCTGTATTATGGCAACTTACATTGCCATAATACAGACAAGGACCGTCGGGCTCATTACAAGCCCGGCGGTCCTGTTGGGGACTGGCAGCGAGCTGTTACTTACCTTTCCTTCAGCTCCTGTCAGCTCCCTTCTCTCTCCTCCGGTCCGGTCAGCTCCACTGTAAGTCTCGCGAGAGTCGGGGGGTAGGAGCGTTGCCACTGTGGCAACGCTCCGCACGGCACTCAGACCGCAAGACTTACAGGGGAGCTGACAGGGGAGCTGACTGGCATGGAGGAGAAGGGAGCTGACAGGAGCTGCAGGAAAGGTAAGTAACAGCTCTCTGCCAGCCCCCCTCCTACACAGCCCATCCACTGGACCAACAGGGAATGAGAGCCCCCCTCCCTGCCATGTATCAAGCAGGGAGGGGGGACGAAAAAAATAAATAAAAATTGAAATAATAATAAAATAATAATATAAATTTTTTTAATTAATATTAAAATAATAATAAAAAAAAAATAATAAAAATGCCCACCCCCCACCAAGGCTCTGCATCACACACACAAACACACTCTGCATCACACACACACACACTGCATTCATACACACACTGCACTCATAGACACACACTGCACTCATACACATGCACACACCGCATTACATACACACACACTGCACTCATACACACACACACACACCACATTCATACAAACACACTGCATTATACACACACACACTGCTTTCATTATATACACACACTGTAAATAAATATTCAATTAATATAATTTTTTGGGATATAATTTTATTGAGAAATTTACCAATAGCTGCTGTATTTCCCACCCTAGTCTTATACTCGAGTCAATAAGTTTTCCCAGTTTTTTGGGGTAAAATTAGGGGTCTCGACTTATATTCGGGTCGACTTATACT